TGCAAATCCTTCCCCTACTTTCCTGTCTCTCTTGATTGTCCTCAACTGCCCAAATAAATAAATAAAACTGGAGCATGTCAGGAACTCACTGTCCAGCAGCTCTTTAACATTTGCTGACTGACCGTCGTGCCACCCATCAACTCCAAAAACAGGCAATTTTAAACTACAGAACGATGAAGTGTCTTCTCAAACCAGTTCTGGCATTTACACACCGTGCTGTGATTGACATCTCTCCCACTCTCCGTCTGCACGGTGCAGAACACTTAACTCACTCCTATAGACTGTGTTCACCGTGAACTTCAGCAGGGAAAGTACAGGTGGAATCAGTGAGAGTTGAATCAGCACACGTAGCACCAGGTACTTTCCTGAGTGGAATGCAGCCACCATTAACGCTATTATTAAATACATCTGTGCTTCTCGTGCTGCGACATGTCGAAATGTCAGCTGTGAAAAGGTCGCAGAGTTTCATGGCGTATGCAATTCCTGGCGTGGGTTTAAATCCAACCTGTGCATGAATGTAACAGCATAAAAATTCATATTGAGAAACCAAACAAACACCATGTAGAGAATATCAGGCCATGTTTAATTATAGACTCTCACATAAGAAATACAGGTAAAATTTATATCTGCAATCTGTCATAGTAGTCAGCATCAACTCTTCTGAGCTGCCTTTTGGCTCCTATAATAAATGCAAGTAATATAAAAACATCTGTCCATCTTAAAGCACAATAGAATATAACAGACTTCTTTTTTTTTCAGCATAAATTCTTTCAGTAACAGGTCATTATAAAATATCCCCGTTTCCTACATAATTATGTGAATAAATCCAAAAACTTTTTACTTGTCAAATTATAACGAACGAATCAAAAATGGGATGAGGAGAACCAGCTGCTTATAGTTTTGCCTAATTTGTTGGATAGCAAAAACCCCGAATTGTAATCAAAACCTTTACAAATCCACCAACAGAGTGCACAAAGGAGCACAAACATGAATTCATTGTTAAAAAAAAAAATCCTTCTTGTATGTTAACAAAGGATCCGAGTGAATGTGGTGAACGGGAAATGAAAGATGAGGAAAAACAAGTGATGGTTGAGAGTGAATGAAATTTCTGATCACCATGTGTAAAGACATCAAATGACTTTTAAAAAAAAAACAGTGTAAGAAAACATGCAGCACGGAGACTTGTGTTGAAACCACATTATGTCTGTTTTTCCTCCCCTGTTTCAACGCCTGCGAGGGAGAAAAGGCCATGCTTGTTTTAGAGAGACGATAACTGAAGCGGTAGTTAAGTTGCTTTCTTTCGGAGCTCGGCTGCTAAAACGTTGAGTTAAAATAATTACCTGGATCGTCTACATCAGCTATGTTTACGTATGTAGCGTCCCCGTATGTGCCTCTTATAAACTAGCAACACAAACACCAGTATACAGCAGGTGCTCGCTTCTATTCTCTTCAGATAATCTCCCTGTTGTAATGCAAGGGCGAGTGAAGAACTGCAGGTTAGGAGGAGGGTGGGGACCCAAGAGTCTCTTTGACATTAAAATTCATGCAAACATTGACATGCGTTTCAAAAACAAAGTTATTTACATGGATTAAAAAGAAACTGCAAATCAGAAGGAAGGGGGAAAAAAAAAAAGAGAGACTGCCGAAAGCAACCCTATGAGGTGTGTAAATGCCTAACAGGTGGAAAAAAAACAAGGTTTTAAAAAGGTGTCTTAGTGTTACACGTGTTTTCAATACAGATGCATCACAACGTTGCCTTTGCTATCCTACGTTAACTATAAACCAGCCTACTCACTCCCTTATTTATCTCGCAGGACAATCACCTCAAAAATAATGGTTATTGAATTAAAATCAAGAAAAAAATAATAAGTAGTAAAGTGCTAAAAATATACAAATCACTTAATAATGGTAACAAAAATAAAACCAAGAAAATATATCAATATTGCTGGGAACCGTCTTAAACTCTCTTCTCTCTGTCAGTAAACTATACACAAGAGACCTGGATCAAGTAGTATATAAGTGGGCTGCATGTCATAAGATATCTGAGTACGATGATGCTCAACTAGTGCCGGGTATACTTGGGAGATAAAAGTCAGTAAAACCGAAAAAGAACACAAATAAACATTTAAAAATTCAATTAGAGGAAAGCCCAGCAGCTGGCCGGACTTCTCGTGATCACACTCGACTCATTTATAGTACATTTCTCAGCAATTAGTACTTTGGTTTGCCAGAACGCTGATCGACCCTGTTCTTTGTACTGTGATTAAATCTTACGACATCAAAGATCAACCGTCTGCCTCTTCTCTGCTTTCTGACTTCAATCATATTGAACCAAAAGCTCTTTTTTTTTTTTTTTGCTCTGAGCGTAAAAAGTGAAAAAAGGCAAGAAGTTGACAGAAGGCGGATGAGATTCATCTATTGTTGCAGCATAAAGGAGGGTGTTTTCCAATAACAGCGACCATACCTGAAACAGACGGGAGGCGACCGAGGCGGAGCGTGACTGATGACGGTCGCTTAAATGAGCATCTAGGTTTTACAGGTGAAACATATATTGTTCCACCAATGAATAATTGAACTTTAGATGTTATAACACCTCCAAAACTAGCATCTGTAAGGCTACGACATGTTGACAAGGACGTTATTGTAGAACCAGGTGTTCCGCTCATTGCTCCACATCTTGTAGAATAAGAGAATGGGGAGAGGAAAGATTTGTCATTGGACACCCACCAGGCACAAACCTGCAACTATCTTTTAAAAGTCCAAACCCGTAGTTTGACAATACCTGACCTAGAAAAGTCCACAGACGTGTTTCTGTTCAGAGGATGGGAGTCGGCTTTAGGCGTGTTGCACGTCATTTCATTCTCTGTGACATTCGTGGTTGGTTGTGACCGTCTAGTTTGACCTGATCCAACTGGGTGGTCCGCAACCCTTTCCAGTGGCTGAGAGGCAACGATCAGCACCAAAGTTGGGAAGTGATCCTCGTGGTTAAGAGTGCTGCTGTTTTTCTATTCAGCCCAACTGCCGACTGAACCTGTGTGAAGCAGTCTGCAACAGCTTGGATGAAAAAACTGAAACAAGAGAAAAGCAGCAGTACTCTGGTGCCTAGAAACTGGATCCGAGACTCGCCGTACAGCACGCACATGTTCCTGTGTTGTTCATGGAGTTTAATGCCTCTCAGTAGTTGGTTGTTGTGTCGGTGTACATTCCAGTTTAATGAGATCTGCAGGTTATTTGTGTTCACGCTGCGTTTTTCATTGTGGTTATCTGTTACCCCTTTTCCACCAAGGAGCACCAGGTGCTAGTGCCGTGCTGGTGCTAGGGCCGGTGCTGAGTTGGTTCCAATCTAAGAACCGGTTGGACTCCAGACTGACTTTTTTACCGGTGTGACCAACTTTCTCATTTATTCGCACTTCTCACCTTGTCACAGGCAAAACATATGACGTGCTGAACATTTTCTTATCGATAGACGCTACAATTTACTGATGTTCCCTGAACGCCCCACATTGCAGGCTGTGGTAGCAGCTGTTGGTGGCTGCGGTGATTAGACCGGTGTGTGACCAAAAATGACTTTAACAAAAGTAAACCAGGGCGTTCTGATGTCAGATTTGTCCAAGATGAAACAGAGTTTTTCTCATGCGGTCTTTTCTATGAGAAGAATAAACAGCACTCGTAGGTGCGCTCCGTTTTTCATGAGTGGACCACAGTATAAATACCGCAGCGCACAGAAGTTATACAAGTCCTGTTTTCAGGTGTTTGTGGTGTTGCTGCTGGGACACAATTGTACCAGCTTTCAGGGCGCAACAGTTTGTGTAAAACCTCCATGTGTCCTGGGACTCATTCCAATACATTTGTGATCGGATCAGGGACGTCCTGGCAAAAAACGATGCAAATCACTGCTTGTGTGTCCCAGTCATTCATCGGTCTCGGTGGTCACGATAACCCCGTCCCCAGCCCCTGACGTACTGGTGCTTAGCTCTGGCCCAGCAAAGAGTTGGTGCTCGCTAAGCACCAGTTTTGAGAGCCTGGGGCCGGTGCTTAGGTGGTGGAAACACAAAAAACTGGGGCTAAGTCAGGCACTAGCACAGCACTAGCACTGGAACCGGTTTGGTGGAAAAGGGGTATGTGACATCTTTTCTAGTTGTACTGCTCACATTCCAGTCATCACAAATCAAAGCCATCGACCAAAAATATACACAAACTTATCTTTGATAGATGGCTTTGGCTCATTTTAGTCTCATAAGTTGGGGCCACAGTGCACAAAGGTGCCTTAAACACACCTGAAAGTATTTTTCACATGGGACAGTTAAGAGTTTCACTGTCCTCTGCACTCAAAGCAGTTCACTGAGGAAGACTTTCCATTGCCTCTGTATGCTGCAGCGTGGTGCTGATGTCATACAGATCTCAGTCCAGAGGTTGTGGGTCTGCTATAGGCATTGTGTGCAGAACCTCGTCCAGTAACTGTAGAGCTCTGTGCAGGTGGATCTCGATCCAGCAGGGGGTCTCCTTGATGCTCTGGCGGGGGTAGTCTGGCCCCCAGCCCTTAACAAAACTCATCCTGAGAATACACAGCCTCCGGAGGTCGTCTACTCCAATACCGGCTGCTGCTGACAGACCTGAGACGGTGGGAGAAGAGAAAGGCCACTGAGGTGCTGCACATGGGTCAAACACGCCATATTTTTTGATAATTAATTACAATTTAAAGTATATTTTTGGGAAAATAAAAGATGAAAAAAACAACTACTGGTTCCAGCTTCTCAAACATTTACTGGTTTTCGTCGACTTTAAGGATTTAAATATTCTGTGGCTTTGGATAGTTGGTTAATTAATCGGGAACATTATTGGCAGATTAATCAAAAATGAAAATGACTGCAGCTCTGCTATTTAACGCTTGCATCAAATAAAAACTATAGTCTGTATGAATGTCACAATGTATGAAAATACAAAACACACAGCTTTATTTCTCTGAAGCCAACACATCTCTAACATCCAACAGCAATCACTATCATCTTTTATTCTGGTAACATCAACATTATTCCAGCAGCGCATAATAAGTTCATTTCTTATTTGAATATAAATTGGGTTAAACATCTATGAGTATTGTTGTTCTTTCTCTATCCAAGTACACAGCTCACACTTACTGTTCACTGGCAGTAAAATCTACATCAAACTTTAACTATAAGCCACTCTGTCAGCTGGAACTATTGCCCCCCCACTGTCTCCATGTGTGCATGTGTATCTGTATGTGCAGTCGGTGTATCTTACTAATAGCTGGAGCTATCCCTCCTACTGATCCAGGTCCAGGTATGTTTCCGGCCACAGCTGCTGCTTGTGCTGCTGCTGCTGCTTGAGCCGTAGCTGCCTGCTGCTGCATTTGCCTGTGGCACTGACGAAGGTCAAACACCTAAAAGGACGGAGCAGACTTTGAATACTGGATACACGACTCGTCTCCTGCACAGACGTTTTTGTGTGTGTGTGAAATAAACACAACTACTGTACAAAAACATTCAACCTTGAGTGATGTCCTTTTATAGTTTACAGAGTTTATCATACATTGACTGCTACTGTGGAGTGAAGCCTGTGTTCTTACCTTGATGTAAGCACTGGGGTAGATTTTGTGAACGGCGTCTCCGGGGGCTCGACCCGCCTCTCTGTCCAAGTAGTAACTCTGAACAAACACTGCGTGGTCGCTGAGGCATCGCACCCACACGTCTCCCTCACCTTTACACTCCAGCTGGACCCCTTTACCGATGTGAAGCCTGAGCAAAGACAACAAAAGGAATAAGGAAAACAGAGAAATACTGCCAGTGGAGCAACTGGAAATCTGCACAAGTCTCTTTATTTTATCTCCCTGATGTTAGACACTTGGCAAAAGCTCTTCTTGTTCATTGTTTTTGTGTGTCTGTTTACAAAATGAAACATCAATAAAAAGAAAATGACAAATGCGAGTGACATTCAGTGATTCTCACCCAAACACTCTGGGTTTATCTTTAAAGGGTACGTCCAGTTAATTTCAACCTATTGTGACTGTATGAGTCGTGTCATCTTTGCGCTTGCCACCTCTGCTTTGGAGATTTTAGGAAACAAGGACTCGATTGTGATACGTATCACTTCAAATGCTCGTCTCTGAGTCTGAACGAAAGCAAACACAGAAAGCAGCAGTCTGGAACGGACGTTATGGATGTGAATCCATACGCAGTGAGCCGAAACAGCTGGGAGGCAACTTTTTGTGTTTACTTTGGGTCAGACTGAGAGACGTGCATCTGAAATGATTCATGTAAAAGTTAGGTTTATTTGGAAAGCTGTAGGAGGCCAGTGCTCCTATACCTTTTATGTGTAAGTCCTCGGGCTCCCCAAATCTCTAGAACGATGGTGCAGAGTGGAAAAATATCAGTGCCCATAGAGCCACAGTTGTCATACTTGCAGGAAATACAACGTGTTGAAAAATTTGCAAAATACGCTAAATACTATGATTCATGTCACGTTTGCCTTAAATGTTTACCCACATCTGCCCCATTCTTAATGTGTGTGGGTAGAAAAAAAACCCTCAACAATATAGGGGTGTTTTTAAATAAACAGAACAGTGTAGAAAATAAGTGATTCTTCTGAGCTTTCATGGACCAATATTGTGGTTCCAGTTTCAGATGCTTAACTAAAACAGACAATGTGGAGATGAACACTCAGATTTGATGATTAACATGCTGTCAGATGGTCTTTTTCTCAATTTAGACTTTTTGTCGGGACTTGGGTCACCTACCTTGCTCTCTCGATAGCCTCAGTGCGATGTACGTTACTGAGTTGGCCCAAACAGAACCGGTCTCCTCCTGAGGGGTCAACGTAGCCGTCCACTGTCACAATGGGGCAAGAAGAGGGCACTTTGAATGTCTCCCCGACTTGAACGTCCATCTCAAAATAGGCAATGGAACACCAGTAATCAGGAGCTGAAACAGAAGAAAGAAGATGTTAGTTGTACTGAGTGAGAATAACAGCAGTGCCAGCCCCAGATCCTAGTCCAGGTAATGTTAAACTTTTTAAAAATCAAGTCAATCAGAATAAACTTTTCCTGTTTTAGGTCAGTTAGGATTACCAAAATAATTTCTATTTGCTAAATGTCAGAATAATGAGAGAGAGATTTTTTTTAAACTACTTTCTTTAGAGTCAGAAGTCTACATACACGAATATTACTATGTCTTCAAACTATTTGGGAAAGCCCAGGTGATGACGTCATGGCTTCGGAAGCTTTTACTAGGTTAACTGACAACATTTAATTGGAGGCACACCTCAAACACACTGCTTCCTTTTGTGACCACATGGGAAAATCTTAAGAAATCCGCCAAGATATCAGGAAGAGAACTGTGAACTTCCACAAGTCTGGTTCATCCTTGGGTACAACTTCCAGATGCCTGAAGGTTCCACGTTCATCTTATACACAAGTATGAACACCATGGGAATGTCCAGCCATAGCGCTCAGGAAGGAGACGGGTTCTGTGTCCCAGAGATGAAGTGTTTTGGTTGAAATGTGCGAATCAACCCCAGAACAAAAGCTAAAGACCTTGTGAAGATGCTGCTGAAGCTGCTAAGAGAGTGTTATTATCCACAGTGAAACCAGTCCTGTGCTGACATGGGCTGAAAGGCTGCTCAGAGAGGAAGAAGACATTACTCCAGAATCAACATAAAAAAGCCAGATTACAGTTTGCTAATTTCTGGAGACATGTCCTGTGGTCTGATGAAACTAAAACTGAACTGTTTGGCCATAATGACCATCGTTACATTTGGAGGAAAAAGGGGGAAGCTTGAAGCCTGAGAACACCATCCCAACAGTGAAGCACGGGGGTGGCAGCATCATGTAGTGGGAGTGTTTTGCTGCAGGAGGGACTGATGCACTTCACAGAATAGATGGCAACATGAGGAAAGAACATCATGTGGAAATATTGAAGCAACATCCCAAGACATCAGCCAGCAAGTTAAAGCTTGGGCGCTAATAGGTCTTCCAAATGGACAATGACCCAAAGCATACTGCCAGATTAGTTACAGAGAGGCTTCAGGACAACAAAGTCAATGTTTTGGAGTGGCCATCACAAAGCCCTGATCTCAGTCCTGTAGAACATTTGTGGGCAGAGTTGAAAAGGTGTGTGGAGCAAAGTGGCTAAAGGAACCAAATACTAAGGAAATGTATGTAAACTTCTGACTTTGAAGAAAGTAGTAGAACATTCTCTCTCTCATTGTTCTTGCATTTAGCAAATAGAAATAAGTTTGGTAATCGTAACTGACCTAAAACAGGAAAAGTTTAGTCTGATTTCATATCAGATAGTGAGGGACAAAAAAAAGCTTAAGTGTCTTTTTATACAGCATATGTAAACTTCTGGTTTCAACTGCATATGCTAACTGTAAATTTTGTCCAGGGTTAATGTGCTTGTGGGTTGTGTGTACTGACCTGGATGATTGGAAATAGGAGGCTGAAAGGCAAGTTCATTGTGCACAGGCCCTGAGAGAAAGAAAGAGTAACGTCAGTGAACTCATGTTTTGCAATGACAAAACTTTTGCATTTTGTCTTTGGATTAACCCTCTGAAAGCCTAAACCTGCTGGCGACTTTGGAGAGCATGCTGTCTTTTAAAAATTGATAAAAATAGACCATTTGTAACAGCAAGAAATATTAAAAACAGAAAGAATAGTAGGATTTTCAGCTTTCCAACAGTCCTTAAACTACTCATCTGTGACGAGCCGCTCGGTCAGGAAACTTAACCAATTCTAAATTTAAATTCATGGAAACAATTTAAAAGCGTAAGAATACAACATCTAGAATAGTCACCATTGTATTTCCAGTGTTGGTAACAACTGCAGGCACTTGGAAAAATAGTGTTCATGCTGATTCCAGACTTTTGTTATTCTATTTGCAAAATATGTGGTCAAAGAAATCCAACTTTCATTTCATCTTTTTTTTTCTTGAATGATTTATGGCATTATAACATTGCTGTTACTTGTTTCCACAGAGGTGCAGAACTTTATATTGCAGTGAAAAATGAGTCCAAGGGTGAGTAAAACACCCAGAGGGTTCAGAACTTTAAGCTTGAGCTGCGACAATAGTGTGTACCTACAGTAGTGTGTTGGATGTGGCATAGGAGGGTGGTGCTGTAGGTGACCGTTGGTGTGGTGGGGTATGTTGGGGGTGAAGCTGCTGTTTCTGGACCAGGTGGAGCTGGCACCTAAAGAAAAAAAAACAGCAGTCAGAGATTCAGAGACAGGCTGACAAAGAGTACAAACTCCTGTTGACTCCACAAACAGAACAGAAGTTTCAAATATGACATTTTCAGTAATTATGTCCAAAACCACCCTCTTTGTGAAGTCATTTTTGTTAATAAGACGGTTGTAATCACTGCATGCTAAAATACAGACAAACATGAGGACAAACAGACTGTCGAGCTTGTATACACACACACACAGAGGAACGTTTTACAACTATTTCTTACTGCCTGATCCAGCAGCAATAGCAGGGAAGGACGACGTCGAGGCAGAGGTGGAGGCCTCAGTGGGCGGGAGCAGGTTTGGAGCTGCAAATGATTCAGACGGGGTCGGGCGGCTGCTGGATGGGGGGTGCTGGATGGTCTGGAGGGTGTGGCCTCCCTCAATGGTGGGCAGGCTCGGCTGTCCGTCAAAATCATACTCATCCTTAACCATCAGTGCTGAGCTGGGTCCAGAACTGGTCAGGGTCAGTCCTGATAAGTCTGCAGAACAAGGAAATGGATCAAGAGGGTGGAACAAGTTGCTGACGGTGCCAACTGCTTAGTGGCATCCATAACTATGCAGACTGTGGGTTTGACAAGTCTGAGTGAAACCAAAGGCATCTAGACCAAGGAGGAATTCAGCAGGTATGTGCACAACACAATGCCACTTTGATTTCAAGGATAGCTTCGCGAAATTCAAGTAACAAACACAAGTCAAATTACAATCCAGTATGTTTACATGTTATAGTCCTTAAACTATAATCTGTGATGCTGACAAATTGCTGAAACAAACAGTTACACTAATTTTCTTCTTTCGCTGCTGCTTTTGGTCTCATTTTACCTCAGCACACTGTAAGAAACACAGAAGTGAAACTGATATTTTCGTGTTTTGTCGTTTGGGCTTATCTCAGCGGGTTCGGTTACTCACCTATGCCAGGAGACACCACTCTCTCATAGTGATAGGGGTTGACACACACGCTGTCACACTTGAGGTCAAAGGCAAACTGGCAGTATTTCACATGCTTCAGTTCATTTTTATGCAGGTCAGGCCACCGCCACAGACGGGCGTAGATTACATGAGGGAACCCTTTACGTCCAGCCACCTGGAAACAACAACAACACAGAGGAGGATGCAGACAAGGAGTTCACTCATTTGTACATTCACCGTCCTTACAGCTGAGGTCAAAGACAGTGTTAAGTCGATTACTTGAAGCCAGAGATGGCAGCTTGTTTCCACTGTTGTGGACAAACACACGCTGATCAAAACTCTTGCATGACTCTGGTCTAACTCAGAAAGATTTCCTGAATGTTCCCACCTTTTCTAATGTATGATGATTTTCCAAGAGGTGATTATGTTTACCGTTGCTCTAAATTAATTCTATGTTATAACCACAGTTTATTGCGCTTATATTGGTGGGTGTCTTATCTCACATGTCGGATATTGTTGATACTGAGCAAAAACATAAAGTTGAAGTACCAGAAAATGACGACTAATTATTTGTTTTGCTCATTATAAAATCAAAAAGCCAAATGTTTACTAACTCCAGTGTCTCATATTTATAAAGGATTTAATGCTTATCTTTGCCATATGATAGTTCACTGATGAGTTTATAGATTTTGACTCTTACTCACTCAAATCTAGCAAATCTTTGTGGGCTCTGGGAAATCAAAAATAATAAGCAGATTAATCTACACTGAAGACAGTCATTAGCTGCAGGTATAAATGAATTACAAATTGCCAAAACCTTTGGAATAAAGCTATAAAAGGAATAAATAAAGGAATATTATTTGACGCTCGTATTTTAAATGTAGCGTGACTGATGAGTAATTAAATCTGATCTCTGGATAGTTTTATTGTTGAAAATAAATCCAAACATTACACAGATGTATAATTTTCCTGAGCTAGTCAAAAAAAACCAAAAAAACACACAGCTCTAATTAATTTGTCATACACGTATAGTTCTACTGTCCTACCTGCAACCGACCATCAAGCGTCCTCTGAATGGTCACACACTTGCTGGGATGGGCCCCGTTGGTGGTGATAGCTGTGATGAGGGAGTCGAGCTCGTCTTTTTTCTCTTTCAGCTTTTTAACCAGGCTCTCGATGGCCCGCTTGGCAAACGTCTCGCTCTCGCCACCCTGCCTGTGGCACATCAGGCTGTGCACAATGCTCAGGCAGGCATCGTTGCTGGTCGGCGTGTTGGTGATGGACATCTTGACCTATGTTTCTGCTGCGCTTCCAGAGAATATATTCGCTGCTGACACCTTTTCACACCATTGTCAGGAAGCCGGGGCGGAGACAATCTTCACAGGATCGATGAAAAAAAAACAACTACTCAGCTGTACTTGCAGACTTGTGATTTCAAATCTCTCAGCATCAGGAGGAAATGTGACCAGATCTGAAAGGAGGAGAAGAAAACACGCTTTATTTTTAAATGAGACGTTTTCAATGAGCTCAACTTTGTCATATTTGCAGGATGTTGTTTGTGGCATTGTTGTGTTATACTGAGAGGATTTCACAACACTCAGTCAATGAATATGAATAAAATACCTCTAAGTGTAAACAATATCATTCAAAGGCTTTTCTTTTTTTAAAGTAGCCATAGGTTACTGACATGTCACCATGGTGTCGTAATACTGAGCAAATCCGAATAACAGATAAGCTTTCTAGCAAAAACCCACCAACAGTGCTTCTGTTTTGACTCTGAGCGGCTGGCAGAAAGCATGAGCCACCAACTGTAATGTTACACCGAAGTTGTTAGCTCTACAATGATAACGCTAGCTCACCAACAACCAAGTGACATGACGAAACAGCAATTTGTGCATTTGCAACTGAGTTTAAAAAACCTGGCGCTTGTTTACAATTTTTTTTGCCGGGATAAAAGTGATTGTTTGCGTTGTTATGCTCACTTGCTTTGTAGCAAGCTAGCGGCGCCAGTCTGGCTGCAGTTTGTCCCGGAAAGCTACAAGAAATCACTGCGAACGGGCGCACTTGGTTTCAAAATAAGAGCGAAATATTTTACACTCGGAGTTCTCATAATACGAATTCCAGATAAGAGACTATTGACTTATACTTGATAGGAACTCATTAATATTTAAAAAAAAAAACAAAAAAAAAACAGCGTATGAATTACCCGAGATTATTTCGTCTCTGTAGATCATCAATAGCTAAACATATTACAAAACTTACAAGATATTTTTAACACACTTGCGATTTGAAACTACCTACTGCAGGCTGTCGGTGGTTCAGAAACGAAAAACAGCTGTGTGACAATTTATAACGCACTTTAAATTAAATGTTTGTAATTTCTTTACACCCGAACTGCATGAAGCACATGGGTCCGCCATAGATGTATCTTATTTTGAAGAGCACCACCGGAAATATTCATGCTGTAACAAAGTACCTTCACTTGTGGCTTGTTAGCTGCCTGCTAGTGAAATATCAACTAGCACCGATGATTGTTGATAGCGGACCAGCTAACATAGCATGCTACTGTGAGTTTAGCAGACCTGTTTATTTATTATGACCAGGTCTGCAAGCACAAAAACATGTTGACCACTTTGCTCGATAGCTAGCAACAAAATTGTTTTGTGCAACGGTGAAAAACACAAGCACGCAAGGCACCGCTACGTAGTTTAAACTACATTAATTCGTAGGCAGGACTTGACGCTACCTGGAGTTAGCTGGTGTAGCGGCTAGCAGGCGGACCCTGCTTGTGTCCGTCCCAAGTTGCCGTGCCGACGGTGGGGCTGTGCAGACCCTGTGTACCTCCTGGAATACCCTTTAAAGTCCCACCAGCTGTTCAGAAAAACGCGAGGAAAACGCCATTTTCCGCAAGCTGGAGCTTTACATCCTCTAAAGTAGAGCAGGGATCAAGTCGAAGTCAATTCTTAGATTTCGTGTCAACTCCCGACTCACTTCACTCACTTCTCACACTAGTTCCTTCAATGGCGCGCTGCGCATGCGCAAAGTCAGCCAGAGGTTTGTCGCGTTCATGCAGCTCGTGAGTGTGTTTGTATATAAAATATCTAAATATATTTTTGTGAATTTCTGTTTTAGCGGCTACATGGTGTAATGTTGCTGCTATAACTGTAGACACCGGTTTTGGTCACTATCACTAAAAACTGTGTCTATTTTTTTATCATCACATCTGCTGCTACTACAGTTTTTAGAACTGCTACAACTAATTTTATCATGTTTACTATCTGTTACCCACACTGCTATCTTTGTGGACGGCTCATAACGTTTTATTTACCTCAGGTGACACAGTTCTCCCACATATAGATCGCAGCTAAATATATACCACACACTGCAGCCTAATGAAACAAGTTACAACTGTGAGGCAGCTACTTGACTGACTTGATCCTATTGGTTTTATGCTTGAACACATTCACATTTAAGATACAAATTTGTATTTTTTTTAAACCACTTCATTTCTTTGACATCATAAGAAATCCAGCAAATAACTTCAAGTTTTCAAACTTGCATTTTGCTCAAGGCGTTCACATACGCCGGCATCCTCACAGTTCCTAGCTTGTTTTTTTTTAATCACTTCTGTACACTTTGAAGTATGTTCCTTTTGTTTTTTCTTTGTGTCTTTTGCCAGCATGTTTTTCTCATTGTTATATAAAAAAGATAACTTTAAATTGTTGTATTTTAAGTGAAAACAGAATTTGAAGGTCAGAATTTTAACTGCATGGGCTGTTGCACTCATTTTGGAGCAAAATTAAAGGATGCTGCTGAAAAGATTCCTTTGGATCAGAGTTGGTTCTCACAAAGAGTCCAGCAGCTGTGTGATTAATGTCTGGAATGTGACAAATAATTTAATTGAGAGCAGCTGTTAGGTTTGCTCCTATCTTCAAAGGCACCGCTACCAGATCCAAAGTCAAATCCAGCTGATAAAACAGTATCCTACTTGTCTGATTTCAGTTTTGTTATTTTCAAGGTGGCGCATGGCCATAGGTGAACATGTTAACTTGCACACATTAACATAAAGTAAATCAAAGAGGCTGACCAGTAAGACTTATGGTATAAAAAACATCAGATACATACAGTGCATATGTGTGCCAAAACTAAACAATCCACTGGTACAACATAATACAGTATTTAAGGTAAGAAGTCCCAATTATTACATATGTACATACACAATATACTGGAATACCCTCATTCATATGTTTATCAGTGTCACTGTGTTAGTGTTTTTCATATGTCTTCACTGATGTAAGTGTCGAGCAAAGACCATGCAGCTATAATAGGCCATCGACAGACAGAGCACAACTGAGTGTCAGCAGAAGGAAACGCTTTATTTTGAGCTTCCTGTGTTACTTACGTAGTGCAACATAACAGTTTTATTAAAGCTGCTCCACCACAGCTGCACATTTCACACATTATTTTCCCCTCTGTGGGTAACGAGGTGCTAATTACAGAAGTGAAATGAGCTGCTGTGATGTTTAGTTGGGATGAAAAGTAGACACTGTTTATCCTTGATGGTGCTTTCATTTTACCCTCCTCACATTAATGACAATACAAAAGCACGCTCATGCACATATACACACATTCTGATGTTTAAATGCCCCACTGGTTACCAATTTGTTCCAATTACAGATGTGACTATTACCCACTGACAAGGCACACAATGATGATTAATTATCAGCTTTGGTAGCTAATGTAGTTGGCATGCCCCCATAATTTGACTTTAATTGTCTGTCATCTTTCTCTTTGCTTCCCTTTCTTATCTCCTTCTCTTTGAGATCGCTCTTTTCTGCTCTTTCTCTCCGGAAAAACCTCTTCACTGTGGGAGTTGAGAGGGCATTCGTTTTCTCTGAGTTCTTTAGCTTTTGTTTTCCTCTGCACTCGTCAGTCGTGCTTTAGTCCAGTTTCTATTGGAGTATTGCCTCTTTTTCTCTCTCTCTGTGCATGACTAAACAAAAAGCAACTCATTGTGTGGCCTTGCTCTTTATTTTCTTTCAGTGTGGGACAGAGGGAGCAGCACAAATAAAGGAAAATAAAGATACAGCAGAAGTGCACAAAGCACATGGAAAGAGGGTCACGATATGAGAATAGAGTGTCTGTGTTTGCCACATGCATGGATTAATATCTTATTTAAGGACATTGTGGGACAAGAAGAAACTATAAACACCATCTTTCAAGCAATACATCGCCTCTCAGATATTTTCACACAGCCACATGTCATGTAATCCACTCAACTGACCAGCAGAGAGCAGTAACCACCAGCCTATCAGTCCTGCTCTGCACTGGCGTCCTTCGAGAACCTCAGAGCGTTCTCATTTAGAAAAAAATTATCTGTATTCACTGTATATGCTCATCAAATTCTGGTCTTGAGTCTTTACAGAATTGGAAAAGCTCATCATGAAATATACAACATTACATACAGAGTTTTGTATTCGTATGTGTCAAAACCTCACGCGTTCACATGCATTCAGGTTGAAGCTTTGGAACAAACTGAGCTGCTATATGTTCACATGCGTTATAATCAACATTTGTCTTCCATATAAAAACAGAGAAAATGAAGGAATCGGCCTGTTGGCTATTGGTATCACTGTTTTAAGTTTGCTCTATGACTCTAAAGCCAATAAGATTAAATTAAAACCACATGACCCTCTAGATAAAATGAGTTGGACATATATATTCCAATGCTAATTAGAGATTAGAAAATGAACTAATTGATGTCTCGCAGTCTTTCCTTTAAACGATGACTGACGACTTTCATCACAATCGGACAACCTTGAAGTAGATTCATGTAAAGCCAGAACAAACAGCTCTAAGCACACATTTCACATTTTGGACAAGATGTAAACATCAAAACATTTTATTTAACATGAACTGACCATGAAGCAGAATATGTCCTCATGACTACCTTAGATCTACTGGATGTAATTCTACAAATGTTTGTCTTGCAGTAAGCGTTTCGTTGCCACCCAGGCCATCTGAATATCACATGAAAAAACAGAAAAACGCTGTTAAGTTTGTCCTTGTTTTCACACATCTGACAGGAACTATCAAGCGAACATCAGCTGTCAGGGAATACTGACACTTCATATCATAATTTGCAGTTGTTGTGCAGTTTTGTGAATGTGGAGCAGCCGGCAGCTAATTGAATGAAACTTGCTTCTAACAGCACAAGACAAGCCTGCCACTTATGTACACATGCAAACAAACGAGACGCTGCGATTGGCTGAAGCTGCTTTTCTTCAGCGTCTGTGCTGCGGTTAATCAGACTATTATAAATGACCTTGGCAACTGTCGGAGGCAGAAAACATGATTGCTGTGTGTGTGTGTGTGTGTGTGTGTGTGTGTGTGTGTGTTAATGAATGTGTACGTGTGACACTGTACACCAAGAGAGTCACGAACGTAAATACAAATGGACAAGCGGGAGCATAGAGTAGGTGATGTGAAGTGACTACCGCTGTGTCAGACTGTGCAGAGGGAATACAAGGAAACAGAATACAAGGACAGCAGCTTTCCACTTGATACTCCACCTTTCACCTCCTCCTTTTTGTGTATTGATCCTCAGCTCTCCTCGTTCTTCTTCTGTCTCTTTTCCTTCCTTTCTGTTACCTACTTTTTTGTAGGTTCTCCTTTTCTCCCAGTAAAAGCAAACATATTGTCGCTACGACTGTCAGACTTCTCATATTGCATGTATGAAGCTTACAGTGACAACTTTAACACATGTACCGCCGCAATTTGTCATAATTTTTGAAACATATCAGACGGAGGTAGACATGATCATGTTTCTCATTTCTTCTTGTGACTGCTGGTTTTTCCGGCTGACAGGACAGCTGTCACTGGCAGACTTTGTCTGCTGCATCTTGATTGCTAATTAAACTAATGTTGCTGATGATGCGGAGAGCCTAGTCCATGCATTTGTCACTTCCAGGCTGGACTATTGTAATGCCTTGTTATGAAGATATCTGAATAATTCTCTGAAAAAACAATACTCCAGCTGATCTAAACTGCTGCAGTCAGAGTAGAAGAGAGATCGTATGTTTCCTATATCAGCTTCCTTTCAGTGGCTCCCTATAAAATCCAGAATCTAGTTAAAATTCCCACTAATGACTGAGCTCTATCATCTCCTGAAGACCTCAGTGTACTATATAATCCTAAAAGAGCATTTTGCTCTCAGAGAACAGGTTTATTTGTGGTTTCTAGTGTTCCTAAAAGCAGAACGTTGGCCATCAGCTACTGGGCTGCTCTCTTGTGGAATCAGCTCCCAGGTTTATTTTGGGCTGCAGACACTCTTTCTTCTTTTTTTAAACTTTAACTAAAAGTTTGGACTAGCTCAGGTGACCCTGAACTATCCCTCTGTTATGCTCCTATAGGCCCAGGCTGCTGGGAGACTTCCCATGATGCACTGAGCACCTCTCCTCTCCTGTCTTTTACTCTCCATTCATTACGTTGGTGTTTTGTCTCTCGTGTAGTTTGTGTTTTGTCCTCTTTGCAGGTATCTCTGGCTGTGGAGCTACATGTTTCTGATCTTCAGTTCCTGACTTCTCCAACTTCCTCAGTGTTTATTATTCTCAATCTCGTTGTTTGTCTGATTTGTGTCTGCTATCCATTTCTGTCTCCTGGTTCTGATAAAGGTTCCTTCCTGTCAAAGGGGAGTTTTTATTCCCACTGTCGCCACAGAGCTGCTCAAAGTGAGTCTTTGGATTTACTGGTTTTCTCTCTTTAATATAATAAAATAAGATCTTCACCTCATGATGTGAAGTGCCTTGAGATGGCTTATGTTGAGAATTGGCACAACATAAACTGAATTGAAAGGAATTGTTAGCGGCTGTAGACGGCTGCCATGTTAAACTGTGCGTTTCACTTTTACGCTGCAGATAAAGACAAGCAGCTGCATGCGAATAACGATCCATCCAGTCACCCTAAAACTTTGCTCACACCTTCCGCTCCTTCTCCTCTTCCTC